AACGCTAAAAAACGTTAGCTTTTCAGTCTCTTTACGGTAGCAAATTCACCGTCTTGTCAACGCAGTTCATCATGATAAGATTTTTGTGTTTCACTACACCACGCACGCTGTACCTCAGTTTCTTTTAACAGACTTTTTTAACAATTATTCCCCGAGCCCGAATGGGCTCTGAGTCAATAGCCCATGAGGCCGAAGACCGAATGGGCTATTGACTCAGAGACCATGCGGACGAGACGAATAATGTTTTTAGTAAAATCCAACTAGTTGGTCAAAAATATCAAGACAAAACAACTTAAGTTAGCAAAACGCGATTCATCAGCCATTGTTTTGGTTTCCAAAGCAGGCGCTTTTCGCTACTGGTTGGCTATAACATATAGCCTAGTAGTAGCTCAACCAATCAGAACGCAGCATTGATAATAGACCACGAGTTCGATTTTACTAAAAGTCTCAATATCCACATACAGATTCTCCAGACTGATCTTCATACATTTCCTTGAAGAACTACTTGAGAGAAAAGTTTAAGAATCAAAGGCTTTTTTTCTCTTAAGTGTTCATTTTATTAATTCTCTTAACCATTTCTTCTTGACAATCTCTTCTTATTGTTAAGAGGAAATTGATCGTGGTCACTTCTTGGACTTGCAGAATCAAGACTAACTATACTATACACTTACAATGACTGAACATCATCAACGCCATACTGGGCTGACACCTCATGCCTGCCTGAACTATTAATTTTAATTTGCTCATAAGATTTTTCATTTACTTTAAAATATTCAGGTGAACTATCTATCAATTCAGAAAGTAAAAACGGAAGGGATAAATCTTATCTTTCCTCTCGTTGTTTCTGAGTGGGTTTTTGTTCGTGTACTGCTATACTCTACTTAGTTTCAGCTCTTAATCTCGTACCCAGATCTCTTGTTTACGAAGCCGAAGGCGAGATCTGGTGTGATCGCCTGTTAGGAATGTGACAGGCGGTGAAAGAAAGCATGCTCGAAATAAATCCTGAATTTTAGACGTGTTTGATAGAGCCGTGAAGTTTTATCGAACAAAACGTGGTTATACGCATATCTTAAGTATGAACCAACTAATTTGTTGTAGCTAGTTTTTCTTTGTAACATCAAATGCAAAGCGACAGCTAGCTAGTTTAAATTTAATTATCATAGCGCACGCTAAAAGCTCAAAGCAGTACGCACCAACTTCTACGCCAGATTTTTTTTACCCTTTCCGATCTGGGCACGAGATTAGTATAGCCTTATTTAATCTTTATATTTCTACTGAGGACTTTTGTCGCTTTGTTTACCGGAGTTGAAGTTTAAAACTGCAACTTCTCACGTGCGCCAGATCCGCCCCGCATGCGCAGTAATGTCTTTAACACTTCATCAGTGTGAGGCAGCGCTTTCTCCAGAGCGAAGAAGTTGGCACGACACTCTTTACGCCTTTCCAGGATATCCTTCTTTTCTTTCAGAAACTCGACCAAGTCTTCTTGTTCCAAGGCGTGCTCAAGGTCATCCACCAGCTGGGTGATGAAAAAATGAAGAATGCAGCGGGGGACTGTATCGCACACGTTCATTTTGATCACGTTGAAACAGCGGACTACATTCTTTTTGACTCTCTTTATATCTTCGACCTCCTGAGGAATGGAAATACACCTGTTGAATTCATCTTAGCTCAACTGACTCTCCAAGGGCCAGGCATACTCACTTTACCCGTTGCTTGCTCAAAAGAGCCTCAAATCAAAATTGAAGAAAAATACCGACTTTTGTTCCGTAAACAATATCACACTTTGAACCATATCATAGGACTCATTGAGAGGTTTGATTAGGATGGTAACTCGATAGGATTTCATCCAAAGACATGAAAGTTAGAACCAGTTAATGCAGCGTAACTCAAATAGTACTATGTGGGAGCCCCCCGGGGGGGGGGTTACTCGATATATCCCTGGGTGGGAAGGTGCGGGGCGGCCCCTCTTACCCTGACCCTGTTTAAGACAAATATCGCTGATTTTCCTACCCTGTTTAAGACAGAATTCCGATTTTTGATACCCTGTTTAAGACATTTAATTAACATTAGAGCTTGTAAAATTTTGCTGTTTATCGTCCAAGAAAAAATATCCTGTTTAAGACAAAAATTGATGAATCGATACCCTGATTAAGACAAAAAATGATAAATTCAATAGCCTGTTTAAGACAAAAATCCCGAAAAACATACCCTGGCTGGCCGCACGTCTCCATTAAGCCCTTATAAGGGAGTACCCCCCCCCGGGGTGGGAGCATTGCTTCTAGAAAGCTTTAATTTCAGTGCAGAGTAAAACGTTAGAAACAGTTACGAAAATGTGCAAAGGTAAAGTACTTCAAATGAGTTTTAAGTTAAACTGAATTGATTGATCACACAAGGGTTTTGTACACAGACTCAAAAGATGGAAAAGGCTCAGATTACCCGTCTCATTTGAATGCATGTATGTTTTTGAACCACTGAGAGCTCACCTTATAATTTCCTCGTGAACTTCGGCATTCAATCTCTTCCATCAGTGCACTGGGGTAGAGCTTTTTCGCGAGGTCCTTCAAGTGGGACATTGTCCCGGACGTCATGCAAGGGTGAGTCTTGCCATTGTGGGCTGGTGTAGTTTCCCATGCACTTAGCTCAGCCGGAAACGGAACGGCAACAAACACCAAATCAGTACTTTTCTTCTGCATCGCAAGAAACTGCTGAATAAACTGAATGGTCTGCTCTCGTTTCCTATCGAAAATCTTGCTCACCACCTTCGCTTCGACTGCTTGCTTGAGAGTTGGGAAATTGGACAAACTTTTTTCGATTGCATCTTGCACTATTGCTCGTAGAGTTTGTTCCACGTTGTTGACTAGAGCTTCGGATATGGGAATAAGTTGATCTACTGGACTTTGCACTTGTTCAGCTACTTGAACGGTCCTAGCCGCCACTCCTATAAAGAGATGCAATTGGAGCGGTTTGCATGTATAATCAAAGCCAGAGTTAAGTCGAAGCTCCCTTCATCTCAAATATCTCGAAATTAAGTAAAGTAAGTAGCTCACACTGAGTGGAAAACGATATTACAAAGGCTAAAATTCTACGCGGTGTATAAAAATGAATCGGTTTTATTTTTCAATCACAGTCACGGGTAGAGAAAAGTCTACTATTCCCTGATTTCAAACCGAGGGAGAAAGGGTACAAGTCCGTGTATTATGGAACTCCAAACGAGGGACAGTCCACATAGTCAGAAAGAGTATACTGACCTTTACAAATCTTCAACTTAGTGTTAATCGGGCCAATATTGAGCAAGGTACAGCGTTTCAAAAACTTGAAAATTTGCAAAGAAATATAAGGGTTGGCTGGCACTTTTTCGGACCGGGCGTCATTAGTAAATTTTGGAGATTTTAAAAGGCGGTTCGTTCATTATAGACCAAAACACCAAATTCGAGGATTTGGTAAAGCTCGGTATGTTTCTAATTGTGAGTGTCTGGGTTGATACAATTACTACTTTTGGGTGCGATTCAAGGGTAAGATCAGGGTTTCAGTTATAGAACCTTTAGCCACACCAGTTTACCTGCGTTAGAGGTGAAAACATGGCAGCAGTGTTCAACTGTCGCCTGTTCCGGTTTCAGTAGTCTTTGATGTGCTTACAAGATATTATTTCGCGAAAGACATGACAAAAGAATAGTTAATACCTGGGACTTGGCATGGCACTGTCCGCCTTCCTTGATATGACTCATAGAGTAATTTCTGTAGCAGCTGGCTGTTTTCACTGCTGTCACCCAGAGGAGCTGCCACGCCCTCGAGTTTCCTTTGTTGTTTTCTTATCTCATCGTCATTACGCATGACCAGAGGGTCTACCTAGATAGTAAAGAGGTCATTTTTAAAAAGGAAACAAACAAAAAAACAAGCAGTAACAACAATAACTTGTTTAAACAACAAGACCAATATCAACAAAATATTGAACTGAAGAATGTAAGCTGACGGGTATATTAAATATTAAATTAACAATAAACCAGATCAGAAGGCAAAGTACTTTCTTGTAGCGAAGGCAAGTAAAGTATGAAAACGCTTGGGAACTGCAATGGACTAAGCGGTCTCCACCTTGGCCTGGTCCTTATTGGGCCACTGGTGAGGGGTGGAACGAGAGGAAGTAGGGGAAACAGTATACGGGGGCAGCTTTATCATTCTTCATCTTTAATCGGAAAAGTGCTAGGGGGAAATTACAAACAAATCCACTTTTTAGAAGGGTCTGGAAGGGGTTTAGGTTGTAAATGACCCTCACTTTGTCAGCTAAATTCTAGATAATTTGCTAGTTGTCAGTTAAAACTTGGCTATGTATTCTGATAGCTACCAGTTAAAAGTTTAGCCATTTGTTAGCTGTCAGTTAACGCCATCTAGACCTTCTTAGAGTGGAAGTGTTACTATCAAAGTGATTAAAAAGTTGACATTGTCGACCAACTTTGGCTATGTTGTTTGGAAAGAAAAGCTCCACAAAACCAGTAATCATGGTTCGCTCAAATTTAATTTCTGTCTTTTCTCTTGTTTAAAGGCGCCTTTTGCATAATTTAGCAAGGACATCTTCGTAAGTGTAGCGTAGTCAGTCGCACAAAAACTTGGGAGAATTCTCCTAACACCTCAGGTTGAAGGGTTCGTTTTATGACGTAGTATCTTCTATGCCCTACATGTCTAAATTAACGATTTTTTTTTCGCCCACCTTGAAAATATCTTCGTGGAATTTGTTGAACAATGTTCGCACTTGCTCTCCTCCTCCAATATCGGACGTGTTGTTAAAAAGAAGCGTCTTCAGCTGTCCTATGAGGGTTTGTTTAACTTTCATTACAAGCGCTCCTTTCCCCTCCCTTGACTCCGGCACCTCGCTATGGGTCAGACGTTTGAGTTCTGATTCCACCTGGAAAGCGCAGTGAGATGTTTTACTCTTTGCACTGTCACTGTAATTACATTTTTCTCTTGGCGGAAATATAATAAAATGACAGTACGAAGAATGCGCAAAGGTTCCCGCTATAAACACAACGCTTGGTTTGGAGAGGGCGGCGTACCATACTGTCACATTTCAGCTATATGGCTGCCTATCGCTGGGAAGGTTATGGTCCTTTTAGTTCATTGTTCTGGGGTAGGGTATGGAAACCTGACACAGGAATAGACCATAGGGTAGATCTTGGCTAGAATATGGTTCCTAAATGCATGTGAGTATGGGCTGGTTTCAGTCTCATTAAGACACTAAGGCCCAGGTCAAACCTCGATCTTTTCATGTTCCGAACTTAATAACCTTTTAATGCCCATTTAGGTCGACCCAAATGATACAAGGTCGACGGTTGATTTAAAAGTAGAACTTTATTAGTCGGACTCAACTCATTTTCACGATGTTCAATGGTCTAGAAAATAAATTTTAGTAATTTATGCATTGGGTTCGGCACACGAGAAGTTTGACGTTTGTCGCTCCACAGTCGAAATTCCCATGTGGCGCGGGCTACTCGATCTTAATTCGTGGGTCGACCCAAATTAGACATGATGGACTTAAAATTGATTCAAACGTCGATCTCTTCATGTACTTAATTGAAGGGATTAGGTTCGGCACATGAAAAGTTCGATATTTGAACTGGACCTAATACACCCGACATTTACACATCAACCACCTCATTGAGAACAAGTTTACATCACGAGCCAACAAAAGTGCAGGTTGTATTAAACCCTAAATAAACTTAGTGATTCCACCTCGGAATGGTTACATGTTTTGTTCTGTTCCTATCTTTCAGTGACATATATACAAAGTTGCTTTCTTACGGTGACAGAAGCATGAAAGAAAAGGAAGAAATCTCATTTCCCAACGGGTTTCAAACCCCTTATTTTTCGAGTCCGGTTTTAAGCTGATGCAGCATTTTCAACCTAACGTGTTCAAGTCATTGCCTCGTTTATTTTTTTTTTCAGTTTCTTTTGAAGGTTGGTAATGAATTTGAAAAAAGGAAAATGAAAAATTGAAAACAAGTAGTGTTGGTCAAATGTCAGGCAAAAGTTAAAAGGGAAGGTCTTTAAAAGCCCTTCACCGTTTACCTGCGTCTTTCGTTCTCTCATTTGGCGTATTAGAATTGGAATCTCTCTGATCATTTTTTCGGCTAGAAGTGAGATCATGGTGTCCATAAGTCGGTCAATTCCACACAGTTGAGGGATACTTTTGTATTGAGGATGATGATCGAACCACTCCCTCTCTTTCAAACGGGTCATTTCAGCGTCCCAGTCCTTCTCTCTCTCATCCGTCCCATCCTTTCCTGTTGGTTCACAATTTGTGGAGAAAGTTTAAACACATTCCCTTGTGATAGGTAAAACCCTTTACCAAACATGCATTTGTGCCTAACAAAAGAATTTAGTTGACATCTACATGTATAATAATTGGGGGTTTAATCGAAGCTTTAAAAATGTAATGTTCAAATTATAAAATCAACTGCCTCTTTAAATTGTAAGACACTCCAGTCAAACACTACTCTCCTCTCCTGGTGACAAAAAAAATAAATAAATAAATAAAAGTGACGTGTCATACGAGATGGCATAATTTTTGCCTAAAATAGTACATTTGGCTTTTTCAATGGAACCAACCCTGTCACTGGAAAAAGGTATCCAGTTACGGTGTCCTACCACCGACGATTATGGCTCCTCGTAACAATGTTGTGCGTACCTCTTAACAAAATAAAGCGACCATCCTCCAGGGTGAAACTTGACTTATTTAGGGCGACCTTAAGACCCATGTCATCGGAATCTCTCAGCCTGTCCGGTTTGGTCAGTACACAGATAGTACGGCTCCTAAAGTCTGCGGCCTTTTGCATGACTAGGTTAATAGCACTGTCTCCCGTGGGGTCCCCTACTTCGGACACTATGACGATGATACTCTTGGTGTTCTTCTGAATGTAGTCTAACACCAGGGTTTGGGTTGCCTGGTTCATCCGTGGGTCATCATTCGCGAAGTGAGCACCGGGAAGATCAACTAACGTCAGAGTGGTGAGGTCGGGACCTGAGGAAGTCAGATTGAAAACGTTTGTATCATAACTGAGCGATTTCTGCACACACAACTTAAACGCAAATGGACGTGAATGGCCGAAGCTTTCTCGAGTCTCCTGTTGCTTAGTGATAGCGCATCAACCTCGTTCCCAGGAATCTCTCCTACCCGTCTCTCTCGCTCTGTAAGGACCGGTAGGAGACAACCCTGGGAACGAGGTTTGTAGCGCATCTGGACTAGTAACCAAAAGGCCGTAGGCCACTTGCACATCTGCCATAATGCACCTTATTTGCCCCCCCCCCGAATTTTGCATAATCATTATTTTCAATTTCTCTTGCGACGGCTGTAATACCCAGAAGAAATGAAAAACAAAGGTTATGTAAAATTTTGGGGGCAAATAAGGTGCATTACGGGAAATGTGTAAGTGCCGTATAGGTTGACCGGACTCCTGTTGGGGGTACTCGGATTGTTTCTGCCAAACCCTTTGTGTCATTGACTGAAAAATAATCTTCCTCAAGTATTCACCAAGCTTTAAATTCACCATTTCACCATCACATTTCTATGACTATGAAACAGTAACTGTAGACGCACTTCTACTTCCCATTCATGGTCACCATCTGGTGGCGCTGTATGTTTTCCTATTACGAGAAGCTAGAGGACATAAAATTGTCATTGCAAGTGATACTTTTTGGATCTTACGGTTTTTGGTGATGAGGAATCCACATGGTCAGAGATCACGACTCCGGTTTCGCATTCCCGCCCTTCCTCCTCCTCAAAGTAGAAACGCACCCAAGCAATGAAATACTGAACCTTGAGACATATGGTGAAGTGTACAGGTCACTAAATCACCCCCTTATGTCCACTTTAATGAACGTCAACATAACGAGCTATTGACCATGTATCATACCTTGAAGGGTCACATTAACTGGAGTCTTGGATATAGGAGTTCCCTCTTCCTTGGGAAGATGACCAGCAACTTGTTTAAGAAAATTCTCCACCACATCATCCGTGGGGTTTTCTACCTCCCCTTTAATATCAGGGTATGCATCACACTTTACTTCAACGATTGTCTTCGGTCCATTGCGCAGATTTAGTATGATGGGGTATGTAGTTCGCGCCTGAAGGGTGTTTGCTGTTTCGTTTCTTCGCATGGGCAGAAGATATCGCCCGATCAGACGATTGATAAGCGTTGTTTTTGCCATATTTTGTCGACCAACAATGACTAAATGCGGAATGTCAAAGTTTTGTCGAAGAGTGTCGTTGCTTATCATTGACTGAATGAAATCCAACACGATCCCGAACTCGCTGCTTCTGCCATACTTGGATACGGGGGACTCAGCTATACCTGACATATCAAAAGATCTGTGGAAAATAAATCCAGTTTGGAGAAAACTGTGCGATTTGTAGAGGGAGTTTCAAAGAATAACAGTAACCGCTAAGCAAATCCAAAGCAGACCGTTAAATCTAAAAGTTAAGATAGAGCGAGGCTGCCTTTCTGCTACTGCTACTGCTATTATTGGTACTGCTACTACTACTGCAATTGCTACTACTGCTGCTGCAACTGCTACTACTACTGCTGCAATTGCTACCACTACTGCTTCAACTGCTACTAAATACACTACTGCTGCAACTGCTACTAGTAGGGCTGCAACTGTTACTTCTACTTCTAGTGTGTCTTTCTACTTGTGTAACCTTTGTTTATGGGAGTTTTTGTATCGCATTTGCTGAATGAAAATGATCGAAACTAGGCATTTTAATACTTCAAACTACATCAGATCAGTAGTCGGAGAAGTCCATCTTCTAAATCTAATAAATGAGCTATTACTATTTCTGTCTATTTCTTTAATATTTGACATAAGTAAATAAAAAAAAAAAATAAAACCTGCTACTGCTGCTACTACTACTGCTACTGCTACTACTACTACTACTACTACTACTACTACTACTACTACTACTACTACTACTACTACTACTACTACTACTACTACTACTACTACTACTACTACTACTACTACTACTACTACTACTACTACTACTACTACTACTACTACTACTACTACTACTACTACTACTACTGCTGCTGCTACTACTACTACTACTACTGGTGTGGCTACTGCTACTACTACTGATTAGCTGCTGCTGCTGCTACTTTTGCTACTGCAACTTCTAACTGCTGCTACTGTTAGTGCTGCTGCAATTTGTACTGCTACTGCTGTTGCTGCTACCTCTGCTTCTGCTGCAACTGCTACTACTGCTGCTACTGCTACAGTCTACTACTGTAACTGCAACCTTTTGGGGAAAATCAAGGACTTTTCATGGACGTTTCAGGGACCAAAATAATTTTTTCAAGGACTTCTTTTCCCCGTAATTGGACATAGAATGACATGAAGTAAAATTACAAACCTGTGGAAAATGTTCAGATTGTGCCTATCACAGACACAACTTGTTTGAGCTCTTGCAAACTGGCATTAATGCTTGCATCGAAGTCAGCTAACTCTTGCATTTTCTCCTTGGCAGTTTTTTAAAGTGAGTTGGCTTGGGTGACAAAAGGCTTCTGCTTTCAAGCAAAGTTCGTTGGGTGATTCAGTTGGCGACTTTGTATTGGAATCTACTCTTGCTACCTTCTTTTTCATTTCCTCTGCCTTGAATAAACTCACCTTGCCTTTGTATTGAGGGTCAGGTTTCCACTTCTTATTGTACAGAAACTGACCCTTCTGCCATTTTGACTATGCCGTCATTCTAATTAAAGCCGATATTGAAATATCCGCACTTCTTTCCACGTGAAAGTTTCAAGACTTCAAATGCCTAAGGGGAGGGGGGTTCGCTTATTGCAATACCTTCTCCCAGGTAGCCACGGTTCCTAGGACACTTCAAATAACGGAAAATGAACTATACCAGGAACACCAAAATCAAGAGAAAACACACTTTTGTACTATTACAGGAGGCAATGACATGGGCTGGTCACTACTATGATCACCAACAAAATTTCGTATTGCTGTGCTTCCAATCTTTCTTTTGCCCAAAAGACTTTTTTAAGGAAGGTTATTTTTATTCAAGGAGCTTTCAAAATTATTTATATTAAGGACTTCTGAAGAAAATTCAAGGACTTTTCAAGGATATCCCACAATTTTCCAATTTTCAAGGACTTTTCAAGGCCTGTGCAAACCATGGAAACTGCTACTACTGCTTCTACTACTTCTGCTACTGTTACTGCTACTGCTATTACTACTGCAGCTGCTGCTGCTACTACTACTACTTCTACTACTGCTGCTGCTACTGCTACTGCTGCTGCTGCTTCTACTGCTACTACTTCTACTACTACTACTACTACTACTCCTACTACTTCTCCTGCTGCTGCTACTACTTATGCTACTACTACCACTACTACTAACTGCTACTGCTACTACTGCTGCTGCTGCTGTTGCTGCTGCTGCTATGATTGCGTCTACTGCTATTGCTACTGCTACGGTTACTGCTGTTGCGGCTGCTACTATTGCTGTTGCTACTGATGCTGCTACTGCTACTTAACTGCTGTTGAAACTGCTACTACTACTGCGACAGCTGCCGCTATTGTAGTTGATACTGCTGCTGCTACTACTACGCCTGCTGTTACTACTGCTGTTACTGCTTTTGCTACTGAGCGGCTACTACTATACTGAGCGGCTACTACTATAATGACTCTATAGTCAAACAGTCTTTCCTTATGTCAAAGAATCTACATTCTATGAATAATTCCGGATATTTTTCCAATTTCATAAACATGCTTGAACAATACAATCTAACCAGTTTAGATGCTGAATCTCTAGATAATGATAAAATTAGACGATATACCACAGAAATGAGAGAGAAATATCTATCTTTTTGGCGGCACAGCCTCGAAAATTCAAAAAAACTAGAATTTTATAAAACTTTTAAAGATGAATATTCTACATCTGATTATCTCTACCAGCTAAGACATTATGACGAACGACAGAATTTTGTTAAATTTAAAATAAGTAATCACAAACTTATGATTGAACATGGTCGATACCAAATCGATCATTTGCCAAGAGAAAATAGATTATGTCCTTTATGTAACTCAAATCAGGTAGAAGATGAGATTCATTTCATCTTTCAATGTAACAAATACTCAGTACAGAGACAGGCATTTATTAATCAAATCAATCGAATAATACCTGACTTTGACAAGAAATCATCTCCGGAAAGCATAAAACTGATAATGAATTCGAAGGAACATCATGTAAATAAGTTAGTTATGAAGTTTGTTTCCTCCTGCATGAAAATACGTGATTCATTGTTAGTAATGTAACCGAATTTTTCTAGATTGTTATTAGTGCTGTTTTGTTTTTTATTTTGATTGTCATATACATGCTTTTGCAATACTGTAAAGTGATGCGGTCATGCAAATAAAGCAATTTATTACTATTACTATTACTACTATTACGGTTGCCGCTGCTACTGCTACTACTGTTACTGCTGCTACTTCTACTATTGAGCCACTGCTGCTGCTGTAACTACCACGACCACTATCATGGCTATCACTACCACTGCTTACACTAAACCCTGAATTAACCGGAAACCACAGAGCCAAATTGTCAACCACGTGTTTAGGTGTTAAAAACGAAAACTATACAGTGCCTGCTACTTAATCACTACCTCCATTAAAGAAAAAATTACGGGTTATTCCTGTGGGATTCAAGGATAATTTTAAGGGCCATACTTGGGAACTGGTTTGTCTACTTCGTCTACTTTACAGTTTAAAGGAACGATCTGTATTTACATCTCAGATAACTGTAATTTTTAATTCATAGCTGGCTTAAGGTAATGTTACACGGGACGATTTGCAACGACGATTTTTAACGCAGCATATAGCGTTACAATGTTGGAACACTGTTGTAACCATTTGAAACAATGTCGCAACAATCGTTCCATTTAACATCACCTTTAAGGTATCAGTTCTGCTAAAAACCATTCCATTTCAAATACTAAAGAATTTGCACAATAAAAATTACATAGGTCTATTAAGCGAGAGCTGAGCTTTCAGAAATTGAAAATTGATATCCGAGGTGCTAATTTTCACACCTAATGTGTGACTTCTAATTTATATCGCAGGCTCAAAAAATCAAGAGTTTCATATTTCTGGCTTTCCCTAGATTCAGATATGAAAGAAAGTTATGAACGTTTTCATTATTCGTTCGGATGAACCGTTTGCAGGAAAAGAGAAACGTGTCGTTAATTAATATCTGTTTGCATGGACTAAATAGCGATAGAGCTGACCGATATCCGGAGCTTGTATCCGTATTGTCCACGCGGAGTTACTATACCCTGGCCTCGGTAGCCTGGAAGGATATCATGGCGGTTCATTTTGGGAAAGCGAACTTTGTGGAGACAAAAGTCTAATGGTATTTTCTACTGGTAAAGATGAACTGTTTGCAGAAAGAGGAAAACAATTTTGATATCCTTTAGCGAGGATTTCAGTCGCGGCGAAGCCATGTGAAGATTGATTTCTTTCTGTTCAATGCAACACATGCCATTCTGGAGGTCTAATTAAATTTCGGATTAGAATAAAAAAGACTCGTCCGACGAAAACAGGAACTTTGAGAGGTTCGCACGCAATATCCACATTGGCGAGAGGGCAAATAAGCGGCGAAGCTTCGAGAAAGCAAAGCTTCACCGGGAGCTTCAAATACCAACTTGAAAGTGCTTGTTGAATTGGAGGAGACATCGATTCTTAGCCATTAGTTTTCCTTTTTAATAGATCTAATTATTCTTATCCATCGGTAAATAGTTACACAATGGCCTTTTTTTGAGGAGTACCTGTTAAAGATTAAAGATTAAATGTGTAGTTCTCCGTAAAAAAATGAACACCATCAATTATTTTGGTATCCCAGAGGGCGATGCGTGATCCATAAATTAGAAATCAAGTGTTTTACTGTGGGCCCAGCGTGACAAAACTTAGCAGGGATTTTACTGATCACATGAACGGACAAAAAAATCATGTAGTTATTCCGATCTCATAGCCTCATTGCCGAGAAGGCAAATAAGCGGCGAAGCTTCGAGAACGCAATTAAAGCTTCACCCGGAGCTTCAAATACAAACTTGAGACAAATAGAGTACTAAGGCAAGTTACTAACTATAGTACAAGGTTTGGTGAGTTAGCATCCTAGAGCTTAGAGTTGTTCTCAATGTGGCCCAGAGTTTTTGCTTTTGTTTGTATCTGTATCATTAAATTTATACCTGATCGAGTGTTATGCTTCTCCAAAGCGCTTTCAAGTTGGTATTTGAAGCTCCCGGTGAAGCTTTGCGTTCTCGAAACTTCGCCGCTTATTTGCCCTCTCGCCAATGTGGATGATTGCGTGCGA